TATTGATTTGACAGCACTCATAAAAATATACACAAAATGTCTTAATGCACATTAAAAAAACTATGAATGTCATTGCATTAGATCATAAAAAAAACATCTAACCAAGCAGCATTTATTTTCAAGAAAGACCAATCTCATTTTTCAAGCTAAATATTTCACCAAAATATAATTTGTTAGGAGTTAATTGATTAAATGGGAAATAGAAATACTGTTACAGACAAAAAAGTATATTAAGACAAAGACAAAAAGAATTACAGAAAAAAATTACACTGACAATTTGTGATTGTTAAACTTTGCAAAACATGTCCATAATGATGAACTACACCTATAGTTACTCTATTGGAACTACTAGAACTGACTTCATAATTTAGACAACACACATAAAAAAAAACACCAGTTGGTTAAAAGTCATTAAGCAAAAAATGCCTCAGAAAAGTGATGTTAGTTCTGAAAAAACATCCGTAAGCATTGGAGTGCAGAGGACAGTTGTTTTGTTATCTAATGCAATGATATAGTCAGTGGGTGGAGGTGTTGCACATTCACAACACGACCAAGAGCCACTAAATCCATCATGATGAAACATTTCTCTGTGTCGCTGTGCCATGGAGGCCCCTGGGGGCCACGGGGACTTCTGACCTGATGGCCTGTAAGGTTGTGTAATACACCTCTCAGGTCATTAGACAGGTGTCCTCAGGCAAGACAGCTCTACTGCGCATCTGTGTGGGTGAACGGTGTGCCACAAACGCCAGCTTGCATTATCAATCTAATCTTATTTGACTAAAGCAACAGAGCCGCAGGTTAAAAGTGAAGAGGGGAGTCCTCAAGTCGACGCCTTTGGTGTGAGAGATGAATCCCAGCATGCATTTAAAACTGAACATCAACGGTAACCATAGTAACGACATTGGTTTTGTAACAAACATTAATACACCACTAGAGGACCATCTTATTTAGGTGAGTTGCTGTCAAAAGAAGGCCTGGGCAAAAAACACAACTTTCACCTGAAAACCTGCTCTTGTGAGACACTTGTCTTTCAGCTCCTGGGAGTGTAAAAGTCATGATGCTACATCAAACGCTCACGCTTCAAAGGTCACTCCCCCACCGGGGCGGATCTGGCCAATCAAACCTCAAAGAGGAGTCCTGGTGTCACCGCCGCACCAGTAATCCCAGGGGTGGTGGGCTTCTTTCTAAAGGTCAGACTTTGGTGAGGGGGCAAGACACAGTGGGGGCGACTTACCACATACAGGTCAAACGCGCTCGCACACAAAACCCAGCAGCTCTCATAAAAATTCCAGCGGAATAGTTGGCAGATGAATTGAGAATTCCATCAGCGGGAAACAGAGAAGGTCGGAAGACTTAAGGCTTAACAACAGATCACTGCTACTGTCAGAACAATCAAAACATACAGTCTAAAGCATATGCATATATATATATATATATATATATATATATATATATATATATATATATATATATATATATGTACACACACACACACATCTCAGGGGTGTTTCCTCCGAAGAGGCAAGGGAGACAGTGTCTTCTCAAAAAACTGGATGAGAAAATAATCGATATTACAAAATATAACACCACGCAAATATTACAAAATGTGACATTAAAAAGTGTAAAAGTCACTTGTTTTTATCAAGTAACATGATACAAATTCTGCTTTGTCATCACAGGAATAAATTATATTTTAAAATATACTAAAACAGAAAACAGTTATTTTAAATTGTTATAATATTTCATAATATTGCTGTTTTTACTATATTTTTGATCAAATAAATGCAGCCTTGCATGGTGTGCATAAGAGACTTCCTTCAAAAACAGGAAAAAAATCTTTTTGGATGGTAAATATAGACAAATATAAATTCTTCATAATTACAATAACTTTCTAGCTTTGTTTTGGCAAAAGGCACTTTTTACTACAATCCTGTATAAAAAAATAATAATAATAATAATATTATATATATACTGTGTGTGTGTATATATATATATATATATATATAAAGTAATTTATATGGTTTATAATGTTTTTTTTTTAGGAAAATTATATATATATATATATATATATATATATATAAAATTTTCTCAAAAAAACATAAACCAAATAAATTACTTTTCAAATCTATCAGGATGCCACAAGTGTAAAAAATAAAATAATTTGACCATCAAATTTAATGATAACAAATGACAAAAATCAAATGCTGATCAAGGTTCTGAAAAAATAATGTATTTGGGGGGAAATTTGAGACGGGCTATTTGCATATAATGAACAATAGGAATTGCGTCACAAAGTGATAAGGAATGACCCGCTGGAAAACAAAGAGGGTGGTGGAACCCAAAAATGTGTCAGTGGATACCATGATGTAAACTCTGGCAGGCTGTTGTCTTACAAATGTGTGAATGCAGACCACAATACTTGAATAACACCAGAGGCGATGACTGTGAAAGTGGAAACAGAAACAACAGCCCTTCTTTTTATTAAAACTGGTGAAAAATCTTAAGCTCAAGCTAGCCACATGATTTGACGAATCTTACCTGTCTGTCTGCAACACAAACAGGGTTTGTTTAAATTTCCAAACTCAAGTATGAGCAATAGCAGTATTGATGCATGCATTTATGTCAATGTGTGCTCAGATAATAGAACATTAAAGAGGTTTTCTTCTCCATTCAAAGACCAACCATAATCTTCCTTTTCGGCTGCAAACTAACCTTTTATTGTAAAGAAAAAACTGTAGATCAAACACTGGGTCTAATTAGTGAGATTCTCTGTGGTTTTCCTAAAAGCCCGTCTTTCCAAAAAACTGGAAAAACAAACCTGGATCTAATGCGTCATACCTATGCAATATTCTTCCAACACGTGCAGGCTTGTTTTATGCTGTTACGTAACATCCATCCATACACAGCGAAGCAAAGCCTGATGGGATGACAGACTAGACCTGAATGCTCTGTTCTGAGATTTTATTGCTAAGCCTGACGATTCAACGTCAAATCGCAATAAAAACCTATGAGGGACATGGACTTTACCCACAATCCTACGGTCTGCACTCATCTCTGATGCCTATTAATCCATGTTTGCACACGCACACAGGGGTGAGTTCAGGCTTGTCTTTCCATGAATCCATCTTTACTGAGCATCACAGCGCAACCGAGGAAATCCAATCCCATGATGTTGAAAGAGTAACCAGTGATTTCTACAGAGAAAAGCTAAAAAGTACACAATTGCCAACATCAGAAGCTCAGAGTGACCCGCGTGTGGCAGAGGATACAATCAGTGAACTTCCTGCATGAGGTAAAAATGTGTTATGTTTAAAAGGAAGGTCAGGTGGGATGACTTAGATATCATGAAAGAGAGGAACACATGAACACAGGGTCAACGGGGACAGCAAGTACACTAATTGGACATGCAAAGAGATTAGCCAATCATAACAGGGATCATTTACATATACAGTAGAAGTGTCAAAATTGATTTTAGAGGGGACAGAAAATGATCTTGTAAAAATTAAATTAAATAAAAAAAATATTTTTTAAATTAAATTAAATGTTAAATAAGTAATTAAATTAAATCCTCTACTATCAAGGGGGTGGACAAATGTACGGAGCCCCTAAAGGGACGTGGTGGTGGAAAAATTTTTAGGATGGGAGAATTTTTTTTCTCAAATCTTTTGCGTTCCCCCGAAAAACTTTGCGTTCCCTCGCAAAAGTTTTGCTTTCCCTCGCAAAGATATTTGCGTTCCCTCGCAAAAGTTTTGCTTTCCCTCGCAAAGATATTTGCGTTCCCACGCAAAACCTGTTGGCAGCTCGGACAGACACTTCCTGTTTAATGTCCCGCTGGCAGTGTTTCAGAGCTCCGTACGTTAATGGAGCGTTTCATAGTGTTTGAACTTGGACTCAAATATAAAGAAATGCGGTCAGTGCTTAACTCAATTGAAGTTCAGTGAAGTTGGCAATACACATAGGCTATTCGAACTTCCCGGATCAATATTCTTGAGCTAAACGTTGTTAAAACACAAACGACACCTATTTACAATCACAGTAACCTAGACAACGAGCTACAACCCAATTCTCCTCAAAACGAGCTTTATTATATAGGCTAAATGGATCTCTATGAGCAGGCGGCTGAGAGACAAGTCCGAAGGGACCATCTGCAAAGTGCAATATAACCCAAAAAACGCTGCTTCTGCTTCTGCACATTTTATATTATAAAAAAAAAAAATTATAACTTCACTGTAACACCAAATTTAGTTCACACATCACTTCTCTTATTTTGGTTATACACTTAGTTTGGGAAGTAATTGCACATAAAAAAATAAGTAGGTCTATTCTTTACACAAATTATATTGGTACTGTACGCAGCTAACATAATAGTTACAACCATAGCTTTTGCATTATATTTGCTTACTGAATTTGATGGCATTACACTGTATAACAGTGTGAAGTTACTGAATATTTTTTCTAAAAAGGGTAAAGTTATTGGAACTGAATTTGGTGACAGTAGCCTACAGTGTATCACAGTGAAGCTATTGAATATGTTAAATAATATCAAATGTGAGAAGGGTTTTGGGATGCGAGGGAATGCAAACATTTTGTGTGGGAACGCAAAAGATTTGAAAAAAAAAAATTCTCCCATCCTAAAATTTTTTCCACCACCACGTCCCTTTAGGGGCTCCGTACAAATGGTCTTGTAAAATTAAATTATAACTAAAAACATTACAAGGACTTAAAAAAAAAAAAAAAAAAAAAAATCACATTAGGCCGGACAATGGTCTTTCAAATCTAAGTTACGACTAACAACCCTGACTAACACTATATAGGACTTGGGTTAAGAAATAAAATTCTGCAAAACAAAAAAACAAAAAAATAAAACAAGCAATTTAGGCCATGTTTCTAAACCAAATTTATGACACAAAAAGCATCTATAAGCACCCTATAGCATCTATAAGCACATTAGGCCATGTTTCTAAAACAGATAAAAAAAAAAAAAAAACGTCACTACTGACCAGTATGTCCACGGCCACGCTCTCCCGCCGCGGCAGGGACCCGTGCTCTGCCCTCTCACTGCCCGGTGTGAGGATGTAGACGCTGCCCCCTCCTGTCGGCTTCATGTTGGGCAGACTGAGAGAGCGCAGGTCCTTCACGCTCTGCTCCACCTTCAGTTCATCGCCGGGTCGAGCTGCACAAAAACACAACATAATACAATGTAAAGTCATTTAATATAATATAATATGCCTGTAACCATGGTAAAAAAATGTTGCTTTAATAAAATACTATTTTAAATATGAAATCAACATTTAAATTAATTGATTATTATTAATATTGTTATTATTATTATTATTATGTTGTTGTTGCCATTTAATAACGAAATAATTCATGTTAAATTATTAAATTAAAATAAAAACAAACAATGTAAAAAATTTAAATTACAAAAATATATATATACAAAACAAAATAACTAACCAAAACAACTTTAAAAAACAAACTTAACTAAATTTCGATGACTAACACTATAAGGACTTGGGGGGTAAAATTATAAAATATGGTCCTTCTGTCATCCATATGCATATTAGGCCATGTTACTAGAACTGATTTACAACACAAAATAAACTAAATGATTCAATTAAAAAATACTTACAATACTGTGTGGATTATTGTTAGTAAGAATTAGTGTTTAATTCCAAACCCAGTACAAATGAATATGCTCAAATCCTTTGTAAGTATGATTCAAAGTAACAGAAGGTCTTCAAAAAGAGTAGATCTCTCCACTCCTCAGACTAGCTGTTAATGTCTCAATCATTTGAGAACGAACCCTTCATTTCACACTCGCGTCACAGGCTCAGTATTACGCAAGAGCGGTAGGTGGGATGTCTGTGTTGGCTTTATCAGATTAAAGACGTGGGGATGGAGACTTATAAAGACAGGCACATGGTTGTATAGTCATGAAAAGAGTCACATGAGTTCTTTAGAAGTAGAACAGCTCTAATGAAGTTTAATTGGTCACACCTCATTTTGCGGGAAACTGTCTGGTTCTGTGGACACAATGTTTGTCGTGTTGTGTAATACCGAGATATGTTTTGAAGTATAATGCGATAAAACTGTTACATTGATGTGCTGAAAATGATGCTGATGAGAAAGTGGTCACACTTCAAAGCACATCATAAAACATACAGGGTATGTACACTTACCTTTTACTTTAAGGTAATGTCCTCCAAAACGATACGCCTCAAATTGGAGTGAGAGTGGAGTGTTCGACTGGTCCAGGAATAGATGGACTCGGGATAACTCAATGCCCTTGCGCTCGAAAATTGGTCCGAGCACTTCTCTAAAGAATGACAAAATGAGTGCATAAGTTTCAAAAACAGAGTTATCAACATTTAAAATCAGCCAATCACAGATTTAGACCTTTGAATGGTAATTTTGAAATGGTAGTTTTTCAAATAAATTTTGAACTTAAATATTGGACACATTAACTACTCACTCACAGAAAAAACACACAAAAACAAAGTTTACTAGCTAATTTTGTTCCTCAACCGGTAGAAAATGGCGTTGGCAACACCAAGGTTGTGGGTTCAAATCCCAGGGTACACAGATCTGTTCCCTGACTCACTGTAACGTCTTCTTTTTGACAGCGGGGACGATCTCCGTGTCAATGTCTATGTTGAGGTCAAACTTGAGGCTGAAGCACTCCTTTCTGGGGTCCTGTAGGGGGCGACAGACCAACACTGGTCAAAGGTGGGCGGCAGACAGACCACTTCCAGTCATTCACACCAAACTCTAAATGTGATCGTCACAAGATATCGATCAAGGGACCACATACTGGGGCTGCTGATGATCGTGTCATTTCCTGTGCACTACGTCAGATAGGAAAGTCCACATTCAAGTCTGTGCTTGTACAGTAAAACTAATGTGATATGTAGGATGGGGGCTATACTGTTTGTGCTTGTTTTCAGATTAACATTGAGCAATGGAAAAAGAAAAGAAAAGAGGAGAGCGCTTACATCAGTGTGGCGTCGCCGGGGCTTCTTTCCGTCTCTTCCTTTCAGCTTCATACCTCCAGTCTTGCGTTCTCTGTCAAAAGACAGAAAAGCACCACAGGCACATGAGGACAGAGGGTCATGCCATCTGCGTGTGACATTATCACTTAGATTTTTTTAGGGCTAAATGATTTAGGAAAAAAAATAATAATAATAATTTCAGATTAAAATTGCAATTGTAGTAAAAAAAAAAAAAGAAAGAAAAAAAGAAAAGAAAAAGCGCTACAGGTTTGCTGTGCTTGTTTGTAGAACTGCACAATTTGGCCAAAAAATTTGATTATATACAAGTATGACTATAAAATAATAATAATAATATTGTTATTATTAATAAATACAAATATTAAATAAAATAAATGTGGCCCAATTTCGCCACAGATTTTGTGATTATATCAATATCACTATAATAATATTAATACGTTTAATAATTATTGTTATTATCATCATCATTAAATAATTAAACAAATAAATATAAATAATACATATTAATACATTTCTTAATATTTCACTGTAAATTTAAAAAAGTATTTATGAAAAATAATATAAATATACAGAAATATGATACATTTGTAAGTAATACAATAATAAAAGTACAATTCTAATTGTAATTTTATATGGTAAATATTGTAAGTAGTGCTTTTATTTTGGCGGGAAACTGCAGGGAGCCCTTAAAGCATCTCTTTTGTTGAAAACATTCGGTTTATGAGCACTTCTCAAATTTGGGAAGATGGTTAGCATCTGTTACATTCCCAAAGGCATGTTATAAGCGACCCAAACTAAGAGCGCTTACAGAGATTGAGTTTGTGTGAAGTTTACTGTGAACCGAGCCGTTCAGAAAAGAACTCAGTTCCGTGATTCACTCCGAAACTCTTTATAAAGGCTGCGATTTAATTAAATAAATATATTAGACAAATCGCATTAAGCCATATAAAGATTTCAGTTTTATTTTGATTCATCATCTAGCCCTAGAATTATATCTCCATTGATCCATTTCAGATTAACCGTGTGTATTTCACCTTTGTTCGGGTTTCATGCCCTTCAGCTTGATTTGAATGGTTTCGAATGCACACAAAAAAACGCTGCATTTCGCATCACTATGTTGTGCAATGTTTTGGTGAGTACAGGCTGAAAGATTCCATATGGTTATTTGAATGTTGTGTGACGGTTGTGGATCACCGACTGACCCTCGCTCAGTGCTTCCTTCCTCGTCTTCCTCTAGGTCTGAAGGGGGGCTCGTGCGAGGTGGACAGGAACGCGTCGACACATTCCGCGCCAGGATAGAACCTGACGACACAGATCTGATCTCACAATCTTCACTCTTTATAGACAGGGCTGTTATCGTTAACTGAAACTAAAACTATTAAAACATTTCTGTTGATTGAAAGAAAGCTGAAATAACAATATTAGTTAAAAAACTTAAAATAAACAAACTAAAATTATTAAAATGGAAATAATTAAAAACTAAAACTAACAAATGACTGAAATGCTGAAATAAAAATAAATTAAACCTAAATAGCAATATTAAAAAAAAAAAGAAAGAAAGAAGAATAAAATCACAAAAGCACAGAACAAAATGGCTCAAAGTTAAACTAAAATGAACATGAAAACTAAAAATCTAAAAATAAAAGCCAATTCAATAATAAATTAATAAAACTAAAATAACTGCTTCATAATAATAAAACAATTATTTTCACTAAATAATGGTGCAGATATACATTTTTTCAAAAAGATAAAGATCAAATAAAAATATAAAGAATTTAAGTCAAATTATTTAAGTTAATTTCTTTTAATAAAAAATACTTGAATTTTTCTGCCAACAAGAAATAAATATAAAAAAAAATACTTTATCAAATAAATTTCTGTTAACTTATTTTATTTAAAATCAGCATCTGTTGATCTGTGACTGAATGGTTGAATTTGAATGGTAGTTATTGGTTGTAGAAATGAACCTGGCACTCAGTCCAGGTGTTTTTTGTACGAACCGTAAACCTGTTTGTCAGAGAGAAACATGAGTGTGTTTGTGCCTGTTGGACCATTTACCTTGTGGCTGTATGTCAAAGCGAGGATGCCTGTCAAAGTGCATGCTGTCAGAGTCATCCAGGTGACAGCGAGAATCACATGACTCACACAGGTGCAGAGGGCTTTTACCGTTCAGTTCCTGGCAGTCTGGGTGATGACACACCTACAGGAACAGAGAGAAATCATCCATCAGAACCTTTGAGTCACTCGGGGTCAGTTTCATTTCACTTAACCGCACCACAAAAACACTTCATACCGTTGCTTCTGCAAGCTGAAGTCACTGTCTAGGTGTTGAAGTCACTGTCTAGGTGTGTAACTTTCTCTTCTGATAGTTCACATCATCACATACAGTCTCAAACACAACCGTACACACACACATGGCTAAAAAGTCTTGTTTACACCCCATAACCAATCCCAAAACTAGAAATATGATAATTTACTGTCAAGGTACAGGGGATGGCTCACAATTTAATACCATGAATATATACTGTACATGGCAACAGAATTCATTACTATAGTATTTACATATATTATTATTTAGGTTCAAGAGTAGCATGGTACATGGGTCAAGAATATGGTACATGTGCAAAAACCATTGTAATAGCACGGTACTTTTTTGTTTGTCATATAATTTTGTAGTATTTTTTTTTCTTAGACAAGTACTATGGTAGTATAATGTGATTTTTACTGTTTTTGACTCTCATGCTCACTAAGGCTGTATTTATATGATCAAAAATACAGTAAAAAACGCAATATTGTGAAATATTATTATAATTTAAAATAACCTACTGCAAAATGTCATTTATTCCTATGATGGCAAAGCTAAATTTTCAGCATCATTAACCAGACGTCAGTGTCACATGATCCTTCAGATTTACTGCTTTGTACGTTGAAAATAGCTGTGCTGCTTAATGTTGCTGTGGAAACTGTGATAAACTTTTTCATGATGCTTTGATGAATAGAAGGTTAGAAAGAACAGCATTTATTTGAAATCAAAATATTTTATAACATTATACTGTAAATGTCTTTACTGTCATGTTTGATTAAAGCATACTTGCTTAAAGTATTAATTTCTTCAAAAGAAGACCCAAAACATTTGAACGATTGCCCATATATAGGGATAATATCAGATGAAAATGGTACGGTTGTTTAAAGCAACACTAAGTAAGATTTTTTACCTTAAAATAATGTTTTCAAAATCGTTTCAGTGGTTCATCAAGTCGTGACATGGTGAAATGCACTTATGCCTCCGCTTTGTGGTCCTTTATCTGATATATCCACGCTATGTAAGATTGCCAGATCGGGTCGCGTTTCTGTAGTCCGAATGAGACATAAGAAAACTACAAATTTGACTTGCTTTACGGCAAGCGTTAAAATTGCCGATAGGTGGAGCGTACTCGACAGTAGACTACAACTACATGTAAGATACCTAGCAGCCGGGTAGCTTTTGAATTGTCATCATGATTACAAAGCCAGTGCTGGATAAACAGAGCATGTGCGTGTGTGCGCGTGCGCGTGCGACAGTTGGATGCGGTAGGCTAAATTATTTACGACAGCGGTAATGGACAATTCCGCTTCCAACCTGTAGGGCGACCGCAGAGGAAAAGTTACTTGGTGTTGCTTTAAACTTTAGGGGACGGCCCAGGTATGATATGTCACATGGACTGTTTGGATAGTAGAATGCTGTAGAGATTTAACCAATTTAGGCATAGCAAGAAAAATGTGCATAAACATTTTTTACAACACATAGCAGAAACAGAGTCATGTGAATCATCTAATTTAAGCTAAAGTTGCACAGACAGCTCTGAAGAGATAAAGTCCTTGAGAAAAGATCCATTCTTCCATTAGAATCTCAAAAACGGATTCAATCAAGAACCACAACAAGTTTCAGGTTGATACAGTTTACACCGTTATGTATGCAGCTTGCTGTTTCATATAAAAGCATCGACTGTCACACCTACTCAAGCTTAATCCAAATCCCTCCGAAATGACTCATATTGAAAAATAGCGATCAGACGACCGTCCCCTCCTCTTACCTTCCACGTTATGGGATGTGCGCAGGCCGCCCCATCCGTGGGCATCCGTGGACGGCAGTCCATGGTGGAAAAGAACAACACTTCAGTACCGTCACACACCCCAAAACCGCACTGAAGGGTCCCAACAAGTCATCCCCTTCCCCCCAAAGAACCAACAAGATGTCCAATTAATCCACCCCCTTGGTGTCTAGTCAGGTTAAGCGCTCATGGGGGCAGGGCAGTTTTAGGGTAGTCCTGGTCTTCCCCAACAACCAAATCAGTCTTCAGATGTCCAAAGCCCCTCTAATCTGAGGAGCTAATCATCTGCTGTGCGCTCTCACAAACCCTTCTGATGGGGCGGTGGAGATTAGATTTGGCTCATCTCTTTCTCAGACTGGACGTCACCTCAAAAGGGTTCTACCCCGAGGAAGAAAGGCAGCCTCGGCTCCATAAAGTTTTTAAATAGAGCTTGCTTTTAAATTGGCCTTGTTGTCTGTAATAGGCATGACATGGTCAACCACAATAAGGACAATTAGGTTAGGTGTACCTTCATGTTTTTCAGATCCAAAGGCTTTTTGGGACTTTGTGCAAAGCTGCAACAGCTTTAAATGCAAGAATAGTCAAATATGGATTCAATGTGACCACACAAATCACTTTAGCGCAAAAGGGATAATTCACCTAAAAATGAAAATTCTGTGGAATTCTGTGAAAACTAGGGATATAAATGATGACAATTTTCATTTTGGGGTGAACTATCCCTTTAAACACTGGTGCATTCTTAAGCCCAAAGTATACTTCTGTTTAATGCATATGTGAGGGTCCGCGTATAGTATGTGTGTACACTTTGTACACGAAGTTCGCACATGCGCACTGAATTTGGTTTGCACTAATCAGTTGTTCCACAAGGTGGCAAAACTGGCCCAGGCCATTGAATCACATTAGAAAACGAAACTTAAGAGACGGAACAACAACAAAATACCAGAGACTGCGACAACAACAAGCCGCATTGACAAGCACGAGTATGAGGGGGTTATGAGACATTTTTGTCGGTCATCATAACTTCTGGAGAGAAATAGCGCAGACACTGGACAAAGATGAAACTTTCTAGAGCGCATGTGTCGACCGCTGGTGTTCGCATGCGCTACCAAATAGAGTAAACTTTGAAAGGCTTTAAGTATAATTTAGGCTTTCTGAGTCAGAGCTTTATAGATATTCATAAACGTGGAAGATAAATGGGCACATATTGGGGAAAAAAGCTACATTTTGGTCTCCATTGGCATTGCATTCTCTATGGAAAAGGTTTTCAAATTTAGGTCCAGGGCTTCCCTGAGGTCTGCTAAATAAAAAAATAAATAAAAACCAAATAAAACAATTCTGAACTTGTACTTCACGAAAACATTACACAATAAAATTAGAATGATATAGCAGAAACAACATATAATATGCAAATTAGTGCGGTCAAATCGATTAATCACGATTAATCGCATCTAACAAAAATTTGTTTACATAATATTTGTGTGTATATTTGTTATTAAATTTATATATCATATATATCTGTGTGTGTCTGTGTATATGTACATATGTGTGTATTTTATGTGTGTGTATACAGTACAGACACGCACAGACATGTATATGATAAATATAAATTTAATAATATATACAAATTATGTAAACAAACTGTTATGTTCGATTTGACAGCACTAATACAAATGCATGTAGAAAGTGATCAACAGTGATCTAACACGCACACAATAACTAAAGCACATTAGATTTTTTTATAGTGGGGATTATGACCGATTATGAGAGAAAAGACGACAGGTCATTCCTCTTTACAGTAAAACTTCCTGCACAGAGGTCAACAGAACAGCCTGTATACTCACGTAATTGTGTGTTTGCCATGAGCCGCTGCTATGACAACTGGCAGCTTTTTCTGCGCTGTGAGGAGTTTGGAGAGCCGAGCTGAATCACCGGTGGGGACTAATGTTCTCTAACGAGTTACGGCACATTTGTCTGAAGGAGAACAGGACTCATCGCCGTTTATGGATTGGCTGAGAGTGTGAACCTTACCCCGGGGCAGTGGCATGAGATGCGCGATCACGTATTCACACCCATTTAGTAATGAAGAGAGAGGTGATAAAGAAGTTCTGGAGAAAGTTGATGTGAAAGATGAGACTTTGCGCCAAGAAAGCTCTCACTACCTTCTTAGGCAGCTTCCTAAACAGCATACTACTGATATGACATGGGCGGCTTCTCTCGAAATGATCACTGTCACATCACGCAATTAGCAGTCCTTAGGAAGTGCACTTAAAACTCTCGACTTGAGTTGTTTTCAATCAGTGTTATTGCTTAATAGAACTACAAAAAAAAAAATATATATATATATATATATATATATATATATATATATATATATATATATAGGCCAAAAATAAAATATAAATATTAGATGATTAACTTAAACTTTAAAAACTTAAGTGAAAATTAGAAAACCCTTTTTGCTAAACAAAACTTAACTAAACAAAAATAGAAATAAAAAAACTAATAAAAATTACAAAAACACATTAAATTACTCAAATGTAAACTAAAATGAATTTATATACAAATAAAAGCCAATTCAAAATATTAATAAATATCATAATAGTAGCCTATATAAATAATAGTAAAAATAACAGTGATTCCAATAAATTAGTTTTTTTATTAGAACATTGCTAAGCTAAGAATATGACCCTGTAAAACGCACAATGATGTTCTGTAAAAGATTGGATACTTCTCAGTCCAACATTGGACTTTTTTTTTTTGTTCAATGGGTTGAGGTGAATTCTGGGAATTTAGCTAAAATGTGGTTATCTTAGTAGGCAGAATCAAGTTGTTGATTGTTTGAAACAACCTCACATATGGAGCACACTTATAATACTTGCACCATTTTGTCTAAAAAAAAAAAAAAAAAAATTACTAAAACTAAAATAATCACTCAAGAAGCCAAAATGTTATAAGCGAATTTAGGCATTACAAACAATATAATGTACATTATAAAAATTGGATATTAATTTTGAAATTTGCATTACAAACGCACAATTGAGTCTTTCTGAAACAGCTTAATCGAGAGACTTCAAGCATGTTATGTGCTGACCAAACAGTTGGGCAATTA